GTCCTCTAGGCTCCTGTCGAGCCATTTGTTAAGATAAGGTAGAAAGCTATTGATAGTCTAATTGACAAAGTTTAAGAGAACGTAGGAAAAATTTTATATACAAACAAAATGTCCTTGATAAAGAGCCCTCTGATATCAAGGGTCGCGCAAAAAGCTGAATTAAAAGCCATCTACGGAATGCCATCCAATATTGTCGGGATTCAAGGCGAATATCAAAGTAGAGGTCTTACCTCGGAGTCGCTTGATAAGTTGCTCCTTAAACTCTTGAAACCAGCCTAGTTTGGCCGGGCCCCGAAGTTCCTGGACGACGGAGAGACAGCGTTCCAGTAATGGTCTATTGTGCAGACGAAGATCTATTGGCATTCGTGACGGGGTGATGAAGCGGTAGGGAGGAGGATGAATGAAACGCACCTTCTGATGCAATATAGGGAAGAAGATACAAAATTAGTTGGCTGCTCTGCCAGGGTGCGAAGTAAAGGGTGAATTGTTCATCCAGACGAAAAATTAACTATTGCAAAACAAAATGAGTTAAGAAGAAATCTGTTATTTTAGGAGTGCCTTTTAGAACGGCGGGCCCATCTTTCTCAAAATGTCATTCTAGCGATACGACGAAATCTACGGACCCCTATAAATTAGGTGGATACTTTCAAAAGATACTGATCAGCATGTTAGCTAGGACCTTGCTTCTCCTCATGTTGAGAAGTTTCTTACATTATCTACATTAAATGGCATTGCCGTAGCAATACCACATCAGAAGACAGTACTTCAAGCATATGCAAGCAATCTACTGCCGGAGATATGAAGAGAAGTTGGGTTTCGAATAATCCTTAAGTAGATTGATAATTTCGTACTTTTCATTTAATTTGAGGCGGGTGAAAGGTATTCGTAAATTGACCTTGGCGGACACCAAAGGAGGATTTCCTCGAACTTTCTTTGTTGAATTGTGCGAAGAAGGTCTCGTCTCAACGTCTAACGACCCGATGATTAAGTTCCGAGCTTTTGTTCGTCATGTGACGGACATCGTCGGAGCCAGAAACCATTATTCACGAACAATCAGCAAAAAACACTAAACCAAGAAAGATGGCCATGTAAGATTTTACTTACTTCTTATACATTTTGTGATCTCACTGAGGCATTCAATAATCTAGTTGTCTATTTTATGTTTGTCCTACATGCAAGTATGCGAGTAGAAATGATACTATTTTTATCTATATAAATAAACTAGAGTAGAATCCTATAATCCTGGGGCCTGCTTTGACCTCGTGGATACATGCGCGTTGTATGTACGCAACACTCACGAGTTGGTTGGCAATTTTGGGTCCGAAACCAGACTCAAAAGTTAGTAAAATCTTCTATTCTGGCTCAGCAGCTCTTCTTGTCACCTTTCTTCCTTTTTTTTCTCTAATTTTATTCAGAAGCCAGAGATAGTTCTTACTTAGTTTCCTACATTCGTTCCTCTTATTCCTCTTATTCTTTGTTTGGTTAATTTCAATCGACTTCCTGATCTTCTGCTTAACTGTGAAGTCTCCATATCCGGCAAGACATTCTTTTTCTCAAACAACTCTATCGGGTGTCCTTAAGTGCTAATATGTTCAGCCACCTCTAATTTCTAAATCCATAGACCTTTACAAGCGGTTCTGTGTTCCGATAGCCTCTTATGCATAAGTCGACAAGTCTTCCCTACATAAACATTACCACATGAGCCCAAAGCCTTATAACAAGTTGATATGCAGAGGGCGTCTAAAGATACTGTCAAAGAAGGCCTGACCGAAAAAAGCGTTAGTATTTCTTTATACATGGTCCTAACGTTCCATTTTATCAGTAATTCGCCTTTTTTTCTTAAAAGCTGACAGGATGATAGCATTAGGAGCAGGGACGAAGAGTTGGCCAATTCCTCGTTTTCTTTCCATCCTATTTCTTAGTATTTTTAAATTGTTAGCAATTACTCCTAACGGATAATTGTTCTCAACTAAGAATTATCCAAGCCCTTCTTACTCACAATTTTTATTATTTACGTCCGCTAGATATAAACTCCTTATAATTATTGATTTAATTAATAAGTATAATTAATTAATAGGTAATTAATAATAAATAATAAATAATAAATAATAATATTAATTAATTAATAAGTATGATTAAAGAGGAAATTAAGAAGGAAACCCAGAGAGTCATAAGAATCCTCTCCCATAAATATTCCAGCAAAAGCGTTTGGTGACATAGCATAAATAAGCCTGAAAGTCAGTTAATAGGCCAGTATGAATTCGCACAATAAATCATACTATATAGT